GGAGGAGGAGGAGGAGGAGGAGGAGGAGGAGGAGGAGGAGGAGGGAGGAGGAGGACGGGGGAGGGGAGGGGGAGGGGGAGGGGGAGGGGGGAGGAGGAGGAGGAGGAGGAGGAGGGAGGAGGAGGAGGAGGATGAGGAGGAGGAGGAGGAGGAGGGGGAGGGAGGGGGAGGAGGGGGAGGAGGAGGAGGAGGAGGAGGAGGAAAGGAGGAGGAGAAGGAGGAGGAGGAGGAGGAGGAGAGGAGGAGGAGGAGGAGGAGGAGGAGGAGGAGGAGGAGGAGGAGGCAAGGGAGCATTAGAAGGAGGAGCAAGTGGACCGTGAGGGTGATTAATTGCAAGAGAGGCGTTGGCGTTGCTACCCCATCCCCATCCATGCAGGTATGCTTGCGCGCATTCCTTCCGCACTTTGTAGGCCAGATCGTCGTGCAAATCGTCGTCGACTGTGGTCTGACATATCTGGCCACCAAATTCTTTCAGAACGTATATGTACTTCCTGTCCTTTTCTTAGAGATCACCAACGTGTTTCCGTCCTTGGTACATGTCCACAGGTGCGCTTTCACAGTCGATTCCACCTCTTCGCCGATCGCGCTCCGCCTCTTGCCGTCGCCCTCATCCTTGCCGTGTGTCTTTCCCTTTTCCTTTTTTTCCCCAACCATCCTGTGGTGTTGGGTCCTCGTTTTGAAGAGACGGTGCCCCGCGTCTCCTTCCTTCCTCCTTCCTCCTCCTCCTCCTCCCTCCTCCCCCTCTTCCTTGCGTTTCACCCGCCCAGCACAGCGTTTCGTAGCCCCATAGGGAGCTCCGCCGAAGGCCCCAGTGCTGCCGCCCGCATGCGTCCCGCACACCCAATTCGGCACACCCCTCACACGTTTCGTGGCCCCATAGGGAGCCCCACCGAAGGCCCCAGTGCTGCCGCCCGCATGCGCCCCGCACACCCAATTCGGCACACCCCTCACACGTTTCGTGGCCCCATAGGGAGCCCCACCGAAGGCCCCAGTGCTGCCGCCCGCATGCGTCCCACACCCAATTCGGCACACCCCTCACACGTTTCGTGGCCCCATAGGGAGCCCCACCGAAGGCCCCAGTGCTGCCGCCCGCATGCGTCACCCACACCCAAGTCGGCACACCCCTCACACGTTTCGTGGCCCCATAGGGAGCCCCACCGAAGGCCCCAGTGCTGCCGCCCGCATGCGTCACCGCACACCCAATTCGGCACACCCCTCACACGTTTCGTGGCCCCATAGGGAGCCCCACCGAAGGCCCCAGTGCTGCCGCCCGCATGCGTCCCGCACACCCACTTCGGCACACCCCTCACACGCTTCGTGGCCCCATAGGGAGCCCCACCGAAGGCCCCAGTGCTGCCGCCCGCATGCGTCCCGCACACCCAATTCGGCACACCCCTCACACGTTTCGTGGCCCCATAGGGAGCCCCACCGAAGGCCCCAGTGCTGCCGCCCGCATGCGTCCCGCACACCCAATTCGGCACACCCCTCACACGTTTCGTGGCCCCATAGGGAGCCCCACCGAAGGCCCCAGTGCTGCCGCCCGCATGCGTCCCGCACACCCAATTCGGCACACCCCTCACACGTTTCGTGGCCCCATAGGGAGCCCCACCGAAGGCCCCAGTGCTGCCGCCCGCATGCGTCCCGCACACCCCGGCACACCCCTCACACGTTTCGTGGCCCCATGCAGTGTGCCGCCCCGCACACCCAATTCGGCACACCCCTCACACGTTTCGTGGCCCCATAGGGAGCCCCACCGAAGGCCCCAGTGCTGCCGCCCGCATGCGTCCCGCACACCCAATTCGGCACACCCCTCACACGCTTCGTGGCCCCATAGGGAGCTCCACCGAAGGCCCCAGTGCTGCCGCCCGCATGCGTCCCGCACACCCAATTCGGCACACCCCTCACACGTTTCGTGGCCCCATAGGGAGCTCCACCGAAGGCCCCAGTGGCGGCGCTCACATGCGCATGCGTCCCGCGCACCCATTTGGGCACATCCCTGACAGGTTTCGTGGCCCCATCCACCGGAGGCCCCAGTGGCGGCGCTCACATGCGTCACCCACACCCACCCAATTCGGCACACCCCTCACACGTTTCGTGGCCCCATAGGGAGCTCCACCGAAGGCTCCAGCGGCCGCGCTCACATGCGTACCCGCCACCCATCCCAGCACGCCCCTCACAACAACAGGTTTCGTGGCCCCATAGGGAGCTCCACCGAAGGCCCCAGTGGCACCGCCTGCATGCGTCACCACCCGCACCCAATTCGGCACACCCCTCACACGTTTCGTGGCCCCATAGAGAGCTGCACCGAAGGCCCCAGTGGCGGCGCTCACATGCGTCCCCGCCACACATCCCAGTACACCCCTCACGCGCTTCGTGGCCCCATAGGGAGCTCCACCGAAGGCCCCAGTAGCGGCGCTTACATGCGTCTCCGCCACCCATCCCGGCACCCCCCCCCCGCAGCAGCATCATGTTTCGGGGACCCATAGGGAGCTCCACTGGAGGCCCCAGTGGCGGCCCTGCACATGCGCTTCCGCCACCCATGTCGGCACGCCCCGCGCGTGTTTCATGTCCCCATAGGGAGCTTCGCCGAATGCCCCAGTGGCACCCATCTCGGCACACCCCTCACACGTTCCGTAGTCCTATGGGGAGTTCCATTGAAGATGAAACCCGCAGCTGCGGTACTGACAACTGCATATGGTTGGGTTCTTCGCCAGGCTAATTTTCGTATCAGCATCCGTGCCCTTGCTCTTTCTCGTATCAGCATCCGTGCCTTTGCTCTTCGTATCAGCATCCGTGCCCTTCTGCTTTGTTCCCTCTTTATATATATATATATATATATATGTATATATATATATATATATATATATCATATTTGAACTTGCTCCTCGACTTCTTGCATATCCTCCAGATCCGAGGGGCCCAAGGTTTTTACTTCGATCCGTCCGCGTCCTGGAACTATCGCGAATACTTTTGTACCATCAGGTTCAAACTTCGTCGTGTATATTGGGGTTGACTTCCTTTTCATTCCTCTTCCTGGCTGCAGCCTCAAGCATGCCTGACGCCTTTCCGAATCCCACTCGACCGTTATTTCTTCGCCCGTCGCCTCCGAAACTTCTCCTGCCGCAGCCTCTCTTGCCGCATCAGCGTCTTCTGACTTCATCGACCGCGCTTGTCCAGGGGATTTTTCTGACGGGCTATCAATGTCGGCAATCATCGCATCGTCTGGTATCTCGTCGATGTCGTCCGAGTAGCACCAGCTTTCTTACGATGAGTTTGCCGTCTTTGCCGTACGAGGGTAGTTTTTCTTCTTCAGGTTATTTGCCGTTATCGCCACATTTGATGTCACCACATTTTTCTTTACATTTGCTTTTGCCAACGGTTGTCGCAGCGGGTTTCTTCATAGGTGGCGTGTCGTCGAGATCCTCGACGGATGCTGATGGCCGTTTCACTGTTGCTGGTTTCTTTCTGACCACATGGTCTGTATCATGATATGCTGTCTGCGTTGTTTCTTTCTTCTCTGGGCGTGGGGGGAAGTGCTTCACCAACCATTCCGTGTCTTTTCTCCTCGTTTCGGTATCTTTAATGTGCCTCAGGGCGGTCTTCAATCTTTCGGACATGGTGGTGATCCAATCTTCGAAGTCCCCCCCTTCCTCCTCCTCCTCCGCCTCCTCGTTCTCCTCCTCCTTCTCCTCCTCCTCCTCTTCCTCCTCCCATCCTCCTCCTCCTCCTCCTCCCCCTCCTCCTCCTCCTCCTCCTCCTCCTCCTCCTTCTCCCAGTCCTCCTCCTCCTCCTCCTCCTCCTCCTCTCCTCATCCTCCCCATCCTCATCCTCCTCATCCTCTTCCGTCCCTTTCCCGATCCATGTTGCCCTAACCGTGCAATCCCCTGCCCGTCCTAGGTCGACATAGATGAAGCCCAGCCTTTCATCCCACCAACTGTCTTCAATGCAGCTTTGATATCCACTTCCTTCACAAGACCAGTGCTAGGAACAGCCATTTTCATAGGATTCAGTAGCTCTTTCGCCTGCCCGCCCCCAGAAGAGGAATGATAATCTGGGAGGCAGATACGGTTAGGGTTCACACGTGGCCAAGGCGTGGTGGGGGGAACAATAGTCAAGGGGGAAAAACACGGAACGCGGAGGAGGGCGGCGGCGCCGCGGCGCGGCATTGGGCGACGCTGCGCAAGAAACGCAAAATAAACGAACAGGAGGATTGGGATTCATCGGACGGCCGATCGGCATGCTTGTGCAACCCACGCTCCATATGCTGTGCTGCAGCCTATTCTGTCATTTCTCTCACATACGCTAGCGCTATGATCCTATTGATTACATATAGCTGTATTGCTTATATCATAATTCAGACATGTGCTATTATGATATGATGTTATATGCATACGTGATTGGTAATACATATTGGCAATGGTTACTATGTGTTGTAAAATGCTATATGGTGCTATTAATATATACATAACTATATGATATGCTATGCATGCGCAATGCTACACCCAGATGCCCAATGGATCAGTATCCAGCTCATGGATCAATATCCAGCTCATGGGTCAAGATGAGCCCACAAAAGGGCCATATATCCAAATCCATGATGTACGCGTCGTGGATGATCCATCTGGCGATCCATTGGACCTCTGGGAGTATATCGGACCTTCGAGCAGCATTCGACACTTGCGATTGTTTCGCAGTTCGCGCTCCTCCAGGGATGGTGAGGTTCAACATGGATTTGCGTAGGACGTTACCTCGAAGGTGACGACAGTTTCGCACTTCGCAGCCCCCCAGGGCCCAGGGATGGCCAGATCGCGTATCACGGCGAGGTAGGGGGCAGGACCTTATTTTTCCGTGTCAGTCTGCGAGCCAGATCGATTTGTGAGGGCCCCGGGGCCCGAAACCAGGCGAACACGCCTGGTGTGACGAACACTGCAGCGTTAGGATCTTACGGAATACCCAGCGATGGCCCATGCCGTCTTTCTCTGCTCCTTTTCCTTCTCCGTAGCCGGTTCGGCTCAGGCGCAGGGCCAGCCAGATCTCTCGGTTGAGAGCCCGCGCCGAGGGCCGCTCCCGTTCGGCGAGCCGCCGCGGCTTCCGGGGCCGATGAGCGCGGCCGACGTGGCGCCGGGCCGGGAGTTCTGGATTGTCGCCGCGGGGTGCGACAAGGACAGCCGTACCCCCCCGAGATCCTGGCGTTGCAGTGCGCGTTTTCGCCCGGCGTCGGGCCCCAGGGCCCTCACACTGATCCGGCTCGGAAAGTGACGCAGCAAAAATTTGGTCCTGGGCTCCTGAGGTGATCTCTGGCGACGGTGTTTGTTTCTGCAACGTCAGATCTGCGGGCCAAACACGCTCGCGTCGTGAACAAAATCAAGACGGACGGGTCTTAGCCGTTTTCGTCCAGGGGGCCCTCGCCAGGCCTCGGGGCCGTCCTAGAACGACTCGCGATGAAAAACCTGTCACGGGGAAAGGGTCGGGGCGTCTAGGGACACCCTATTCAACACAATCAGGACGCCGCATGTTTTCGAGGCCCTGGCGCTCCGATTCTTCTGCTCAGGCCTGGCGCTTTCTTCTCGCCTCGGCCTCCGCTGGCCGCGCTCACAGTCCCCAGAGCCGCTGAAAGACAAAGGCTCGGGGGCTCCGCCCTGCAAGGTCCTGGCGTCGCAGCTTTTCACACCGGGTGGTTTCGCCCAGCATTCGGGCCCCAGGGTTCTGACGTACCGATCGATCCGTCCCGAGAAGTGCTGCAGAAAGATGGGGTCTCGGGCTCCGGTAGGATTTCCCCCCCTGTTGCAATGTTTTCGCGACGTCGGATCTCGGGGCAGGGCCACGCGGGGCTCGAGTAAGAACGAACTTCGTGTACAAATTTTCGGAGGTCTGCAGGGACTTCTGGGGATCGGCCCCGGAAGCCTTTCGATGGCGCGGGGATCGTGCCAGGGGCGGCGCCGGAGTCGGCGCCTGTGGGGTCCGGCGCCAACACGAGTTCCGTGCGGACCTTCGAATGTTTGTGCTTGTGTCGTTGATTGTTTTCCTCTAGGTATGATGAGGGGGGTACCCGTTCGGGCGGGGTAGCCCAGCGAGGGACGCTCGGAGTCGGTGTTCGGCCCTGCCTCGGTGGATGCCCTTGGAAAGTGCCCGCAGCCCCGAGCCTGCAAGCCCGAGCCACCGGCTCCTGGCAGCCTCTGTTGCACCCGGACGTGCGATATACATACTATGTGATGTCCATGGGTAATTAGTTTTTCGGGCCTCGCCTTTCACCTCCTTCCCCCCGCCTCCATAGGTGGGCGGGATGAGGGGCGTTCGTGAGGGGACGGGGGTGTCTTCAGATGAAGGTGGTGCCGTCCCGAGTGTATCTCGTCTCGTGTGTGTGTGTGTGTGTGTGTGTGTGTTCCCGTCTCAAGCTCTTTGGCTCGAGCGTTCATGCAGACGCCCGAGGCTTTTTGGATGGGGGCGTCCCTGCTTGAGGGGAGGGTTTTGGGGGAGGGGATCTGGAGGGAGGGTCCTGAGGGTGTCTCTTGCTTGAGGGGAGGTCCAGGGAGGGGGTCCTGAGAGGGGTGTCCTGAGGGGAGTCCTGAGGGGGGGTCCTGTGGCTGGGTCCGAAGGAGGGTCCTGCTTGGGAGGGGGGAATCCTGAGGGTGATTCCTGCTTGAGGGATGGTTCTGGTGGGGCTGTCCTGCTTGATGCGGAGGTCCCCAGTGGGGGTCCTGAGATAAGGTTCTGCCTGAGGGAGGGTCTGACAAGGTTTCCCGAGGCCAGGTCCTGAGCGGGTTGGTTCAGTCCTGCTAATTCCGAAACCTTTCACCGTTTTTTGTTAAACATGTGGTGCGGTGTGCATCCCGCCTACGCTGCTTTCGGAAGCTAATTCCTAACAACCTCACCAACCGTCAATAGAAATGTGGTGCGGTGCACATCCCGCCTGCGCTGATTTCCCTGGCCCTCTTCAGCTTCGCGCCCCTGGGGATCCCGAGGGAGGGTCTTGAAGGGGGTCCTGAGGGAGGGTCATGTTTGAGAGAGGGTCTCGGGGGGTTTCAGAGGGGGGTCCTGTGGAGGAGTCCTGACGGTGGGTCCTGCTTGGGAGGGCGTCCTCAGAGGGGGTCCTGCTGTGATATGGAACATTATCGCTGATAATGCTTTCTCGCTCTGCGCGGCAGAGGTACACGTAGCTCTAAGGCCAAGGGCCCTAAATGTTTTGAAACCGATACGGCCGCGGGAGATAAGGTGAGAACAAGCAACCGCAGCAGCAATCTCTCTGGAGCGAGCGGAAGCGAGGCGGAAGCGGGGATTAGGAGCGAGGGAACCGCTAGGAATCACACTCCTCCTGCACGGCTTTCGAAGGCGCTCGCAGCGGCCTGAGAGAGATGGGCGTATCTTCTCTCGCTTCATTACACGGAAAGAATCATCGAGATAATTCTGAAACAGCGGCGGCGGCAGCAAAGGCAGGCAAACGGCTTGGCACGGCTTGCAGCAAGGGATCTTATCGAGAAAAGATCTGAATGGTTATGATCGTCATCACATGATCTTTGCACCAGGTGTGAAACAACAACACAGCAAAGCGGACTTGCATATGAACATCCGGGTGTGAAAATCGAACAGCAATGCGGACTAACGTATGAATAGCCGAGTATGAAATCTGAACAGCAATGCGGAGTTACGTTGAGTAGCCGGGTGTGAAGACAGAGCAGCAGAATACTTGCCGGTTCGATCGGCCAACCTGCCGTCCGGAAACCAAGCGGGGTTCATCTTTCTTTCTTGGGTTTCGTCGATTTATCCATCAGGTCAGGTCCGCGCCAGCACTCTCTGCCTGTGAGCCTCCTCCAGCGGCCCATGAGATCGTTCATCACGCCTTCCAGGAAGATTGTGAAATCGGGGTTGCTGCAACGTTAGTGCCGGAGCAGCCACGACGCATGCTTCTTGCAGGTCTTGCAAGTGATGTAGATACTGTGCGGGTTGTGCCCGATAACGAAATCATTGTGGGGAACGCCCGTCACGCAGGTTAGCATGTCGTTCGGCTGCACTGTCGGTGAGGAGCCGTTCCACGATACAACACTTGCTGACGTGGCTGACACTGAGCTTGATGAGCTCGTCACACTGACGACGCTTGGCGTTGCAGAGGCCGAACTTCCCTGAGATCTCGCTGATCTTGATCGTCCAGATCCCCGTGCTGATGTTGCGGTACATGGTGGTGGCAGTGCGCTGGCAAGCGGTGGTTCTGGCGGCAACAGTGGCGGCGGCGGCTGTTGAATCGCAGCCGATGCTACTGAACTCGATGCCTGCGCACTGCTGAAAACGTCCACGTGGGACATCGTGATGTCACCGTCGTGATCGCGGTCTTCTGGGATGGCAGGTGGTATGTAACGGCGCCGGCCAAGCATGCGGCCGTCCCAGCCCGGGTGCTCGCCCATTGCGTTCGCCTCGGCGACGCTTTCCTCGGTGGCGATCGCGTTGTTCTGCCTCATGATCGTCTAGAGCGTCATGAAAATGCCCAAACCGATAGTCATGCCAAGGACCAGCGTGAACGTCAGCAGGCATATGTAGAAGCTGTAGTCTGGCATAGTCGGCGTAGGCGTAGGCTGTCCCTTGACATTGCCGAGGCAGGTGAACATGACTGAGGCGAGCATGGCGGCGTGCGGCTGCCGGGTCCCGTAGGTGTGCTTGCGGGCCCCGAAGAACGACATCAGGACGCCCACCTCCATCGTCTTCGTCAAGGCGTCCGCGACCATGGCCCAGGTCGGGATCCAGCTGAGCTTGAGCGCACTGCTGGGGTGTGCGGCCTCCTTGATCATGGGGGCGACGATGTGGAAGCGCTTGTCAGTCGACTGGCCCACATCTGAAGCCATGTGCGTCACGAGACCCTTGCTGTCGCTGTAGATCTCCCCAGGGCGCTTGTCGGCGAGCACGTCGATATGCGTGAGCGCCGTCTTGGGGTTGTAGGCCTCGGTCAGCAGCTGTCGGAACCAGATGTTGGTCTCCGATCCCTCGAGGGTGGCGTAGCCCTCGGCAGCGAGGGTCGACTTCACCGACCTCTTGACGGTGCGGAGTGCCGGGCGACGGGCAGGCGCAGGTCGCAACGGCCGCCGACGACGTCACGCGGGCGATGGGTGAGCCCAATCACCATGCCCCATTGGCTCTTGACGCCGTCCACGTTGGCGAACGCGGCGTCGCTGAAGCACGCGGTGATGGTCGTCTTCAGGTCGACGAGCTTGCGCTTGAGCACGATCGCGAAGTTCGCGGTGGAGCGCGTAGGCGACGGTCTTGCTGAGCGTCTTCGCGTCGGCCACGGTGGCGACATTGGTGCGGCGAGCCGGACTGCGATGTCCACCCGGGTCTGCACCGCTAGTCGCAGCAGCTGCCCGAGCGTGTGGCGGTAGCACGTCACTTCGATGGCGGTGGGCCGGTCCTCGGCACCTCGGCCCTTCTGGGCATTCAGGTCGACGTAATCCACCTGCGCGGCGGCGGTGGCTTGGGTCGCGTGGAACTCGTCATCGAGCTAGGTAATAGTACGTCCGCAGTACTTGATGACCCCTTCGACTGGCTTGAGGTGCAGCTTCTTCCCCAGCGATGCGATAGTGGTCTTCCACTTGGTTGAGTTGTTGCGCTGGGCGATCAGGAAGTCGCCCACATGTGAGTGGATCACCGCGGCGAGCCCACCTTCGTCGTAGAAGGAGTAGAGGCCCTTCTCGAGCTTGCTCTCTCCACGAGGCCGTGCTCGGCGAAGACCTTCTGCGCGTAGAGGTGCCACTGCCCGCCGGCGTCGCGCGCCCCGTAGACTGCGCCTGTGGCCATCGCGATCTCGCCAGGCTGAGTTCCCGGAGGCGGATTCTTAGCCGGCATGCGCAGGAGCAGTAGCCTCTCGATGTTGCCCGTCTGCAGGTAGGCCGTCATCGCGTCGCAGGACGAGATGTCCCAGTCTTTCTGGGACGCAGCGGCCATTGCCAGGTACAGCGCGTCCCTGGACCCCGTAGGCGCGTCCGTCCTGATGTGCGACTTATCCTCCTGGCAGCCCTGCGCGGCCAGACGGGCCTTCATGACGTTCTGGCCCTTGCTGGTCAGCACCCAGCGTGCGCCCGCAGGGCGGATGCCAGGGTTGCGCCGCAGGAGCTTCTTCAGCTCCTGGGGCGGGGGCTTCTTGTGGGCGCCGAACTCCGTCCACTTGGACCGCTCGGTCTTCGTGGCGGCGTCCATGTTCTTCTTCCCGGTGGCACTCAGCGTGTCGTACTTGAGCTCCTTGGCGGTCGCGTTGCCCGTGGGCAGTGCCTCGCGGAGTCGTGTGCTTGCGTAGTGCTCGTCCGCGCGCTTCTGGGAGTAGTTGCCCAGGTAGAGGTCGACCTTGTTCGTGTCCTTCGGCCTCTTGAAGCACTTGGGCAGATCGTCCAAGAGATCCTTGCGCTTGGCAGCGCGCTCGCGGGGGTCGAGCTCGTGCTGGCGGTCGCGTTGCAGTGCCACTGGTGCGTTCTCCTGTCGAACTTGGCGCTGCGTCTTGGTGCCGCGCTGGTTCTCGGTGTCCGGTGGGCGCCGCGCCATCGTCTCCTGGCGCGCCTCCTTTTCCGCAATCTTGGCCCAGTCTCGCATCATGTCCGAACCGTCGGACTCGATGTCGTCGTCGACCAGGCCATGAGGGGCAGGTTCAGGAGGTCGAGAATCTGCGGCAGCAGCGGCGGGGGCGGCTGCAGGAGCGGCAGCATCGCCTGAGTCCGGCGCTGGCGGGTCGGCGGCCGCTGGTGGCGGCGGCGGCTCCGCTGGCGGTGGCAGCGGCGGCGGCTGCTGTGCGGCCCCCCCCGAAGGCGGTGGGGCCGGTCCTCCACTGCCGCTTGCTCCTCCACTGGTTGTGAAATCGCCGTCTCCTTGGCGGCGTGCCAGCCGCTCGGCGTGCTTATGAGCGCGCTGATTCGCTTCGGGATGCTCGATGTTGCCGAAGTTGTGTCGCTGGATGGCTGGTGCTGAACGGGTGTTGGCAGCGCTGGTGGTGCGGGGGGCTGACTGTCACTGCGGGGGCGCTTCTGCAGTGTTGGTCCAGACAGGTCGAGGAGCATGTCGTCGTCAGCGTCTGGCAGTGCAGGTCCAGCAGAGCCTCCTCCCACACCAGGGCCGGGCGGCGGGGGTCCGCCGCCTGCGCCGCCGCCGCCTCCTCCAGGGCCTGGGGGAGGTGCGGGCCCGGAGGTCCCTGGCGGGGCGCCTGGCGGAGGTCCAGGCGGCTGGTTGCCGTTCAGCGCTCTCAGCACTTGCCCCCACGGAACGAATTGCGTGGCCGTGGCGTGGCGCAGGTGTCCACGATTGACCTTTTCACGGTCGCGCAGCGGTGGCTGACCCAGACGTTCGAGGTGACCTCGAACCCGATGATGACGGCGGGCCCGTGCCACTGCAAGGCCCATTCTGTCTCGGGCTTGCTGTTGCCCTTCCTGTAGTGCACCTGGTCGCCCGTCTGGTAGACGTCGCTGGCGTGCTGAGCTCCATCTGCCCGAGACCGGGCCAGCAGCGCCCTCGAGAGGGACTGGTTGAACCTCGGGTGCTGGATGGAGGTCTGTGCGGCCTTCATGATCGCGATCCTCTCCGGGAGCTGCTCTATCTATCTATCTATCTATCTATTTATCTGCAATGCCAGGCAGGCGACGATGCGAATTCACCGGCGGGTTGTTGAGCTAATTTGCCAAATCCGTCGTAACATTTTGGCGTCCTGCCCTGGTTTTCAGACTCCCCCCATGCCCGGCAGTAGGCATTTTGGATCAGGGTGGCGCTTGCCGCGCCCCAGGCCCAGCAGCTTAGCATAGCGTCTGACTGCTGCTCTCCAGTAGTTCTGGAGAGACCCGAGTCCAGTGGAGAAACATTCACATCTCGTTTGATCTCGTTGAATCAATTCTCAGAGCGTTGGTCTTACTGCAACACATTCAGCGCGCGACGAGAAAGAGCTAGAACCATGGCACGCGCGAGCGGCAGCGATGGCGGGGCACTAGTCGGTGCACCAGCTGCTCCGCACGGCGGGCTATCAGGCGCAGCTCTACAAGCGGCTCTATTAGGCGATAGCCAGGATGATGCGCTGGCTGTTCAGCGGGATGCGAGGAAACGCGCCCGTGAAGGTCACGACGAGGCCGATCCCATCGAGGCAGCCTTTGACGAGGTTATCGCAGCGGCCAAAGTACCCAGTGAAATAGAGCACAAAGTCCGGCAGGTTGTGGAAAAGCTCCATGGGAATATTACAAAATACAACAAGTTGGCGGAGAAGAAAAACAAGGTGCAACAGCATATCGATGGAATAATCAGCGGAAGTTGGCCATCCGATATCAAACAATTCAAACCTCAAGTGGAAATCCCAAACCTCGAGGATGCAGTTCCAGAACATTTGAAAGGGCATCTTATCGACATTCTTCGGTCCCGAGGGGTGGCCGAGGTTCCAGGGTCTCTGACAATCCGTGGAGGCAAAAGGATAATTTACGAAACGAGTACCTTAGCAAACAAAAGGTTGGATTTGGTAATGTTGGAGTCTCAAATCGCAGCTTTATCAACAGACATTGATCTCAATAAGTTTGTCAATGAAGCTGCCGCCATCTCGAGCGAGAGGGAACGGAACATGTCCGATTTGAATCTCCCACCGTGTGCGTTACCTCCTGGGCTGTTCAGAGAGGAGGTGAAGCTATCCACCGCGGAGGCGATCAGCATGTACCGCAACATGATCAGAAACATCGCCGACGACCGTGCCAAGTCCAAGCTAGAGAAGCAAAAGGAACATGATAAGCAACAAGCCCGAATTAAGACCCTGATGGAGACGCCGCCGGCCACGAGATTCGCATCAGCCGTAAAGCAGGTCATGAAGGCCACCGAGACCCCGTCTCTGGACTGGGCGGCCTACCAGACTGGCACCCAGGCGGCGGATTGCGTGCAGAACGTTCCAGGCAAGCGCACGTTCACGAAGTCCGAGTTGAGCACGAGGAAGGGCGATCGGAATCGAGCCCTTTGGAAGCCAAAAAACGGACGAGCCCAGGTTCCAATGGGACCTGGGGCAAGAAGGACAACCTTGCCACCCCTTCGATCCACGCAGAGAAGGGCAAAGGCAAGGGAAAAGGCAAAGGCAAGGGAAAAGGCAAAGGCAAGACGAAAGGATACGATAACGGCAAGGGAACGGATCCCAACCAGCGTGGGACAGACCCCAGAGGCAAGAAAGGAGGAGGCAAAGGAGGACATCCTGGAGGAAAGCGCGCCGGAGGGAAAGGCAAGAGCACGAGTTCCAAGTAAATCTTGAATTCATGCGTTTAGTGGGCGGCATGCCGATTGGGGATTTAGCTCTATTGTTGGATGGTGCGCACCGTGGGGAGGTGTATTTATTCGATTCAGACAATGCGAGTTGCCGGCGCCCGTCATTTAGTGAAATACCATGACCAGTGGTATTTTTCCTTGACGTTTCACAAGAAGTTCAGATTCACTCCTAAAGCTCTTCCTCAACTTTCCCAGGTGTCCAAAATGCAACAGCAGGCGAGGGAAAAACTGTTGTGACATTGGCATTTCAGGGGCCAGGAGAGGCCCGACAAGTTCAGAGTGTCAGACAAGGATGGAGGTTTCGCACTGGTGAGGAAGACTGACCTCATTGAAGCGCACAGGAGCGCCCTGGCGGGCACCAGCTACGAAGAGATTTCCCCGCTCCAGCTTCATGGGAAAATCATCACATTTGAGTATTGCGACATCGTCAAGCAAGTTTCGGAAGACGACCCCACGGTGGATGGCCCGTCTCTCTTGCAATCCCTGGAAGGTGGAACGGAAGGTCACAGCCACTCTTGGGGAGACGCTGAAGACGCACAAAGCGCCCGGCGAGGTTGCATTCGGGATCCTGCGCGCTCGCAGGCATCATTCGTTTCGTGGCCTCGGTGCGTGGCTATCGAAAACGATCAGGGACCAATTCAAGCACAAACCGTACATATTGTCGAGCACAGAACAATTGATCGAGGTTTTGAACAAGACCACGTTCGCTGCGAATGTTGCCTTTCTCAGGTTCGACGTGCGGGACTTCTTCATGTCTGGCGACCCGTCCACGCTTGTGTCAGGTGCAACTCGAGTGGCGCCCCCTCATCTGAAGTCTGCTGCTCGGCGCGTGACCGAGTTCCTCTTAGATCACCAATGCACCACAGGCGATTTCTTCCCCGACCAGCTCTGGAAAGTCATCGTTGGATCCGGCATGGGAATGAATTACTCTGGCGATCTATCAGACGCAGGGTTTTACGATAGTCTTGAAAGAGGCCGTGTCGATAGCAGCTCCTGGCTGGCCGAGCACGGCATTCTCTTGCACTGCCGCTACAAAGACGACATCATCATCATCGCCGAGGGGGTGATGCGGAACTATTGGCAGTGCTACCAGTGGCTAGTGCAGAATGACACGTGCTTCAGGTGCAAAGTAGAAGGGAATTCGTTCCGTGGGGTTGATTTTCTCGACATCCACATTTTCAAGGGCCCCAGGTTTCAAAAGCATGGCCTTTTGGATTACAAGCCCATCTGGAAACCCACTAGCTTAGGAGTTTCTCTATCGTGTACTTCATCACATCCCATGTCTGTACACGTGGCGTGGCCGCAAGCCGAGCTTGCGAGGCTAGACAGCCATTCTTCGAGCACGGCCATCAGCGCCGAGGCCCGCGGGGTGTTCCTCGACAGGCTTTCGCGCTTCGGTTTCCCGAGAGCGTGCGTCAACCATCTCAGCACGTGGTCGCCCAAACCCGACAGAGAGCGCCGGCCCAATGAGGCCAGGTGCTGGAAAATGTGGGAAAGGTGCCCTTTTGACCCCGTGTGGGCCCGCATGGGGATTTCAAGATTGTTCCAGGATTTTCTCAGCAATCCCCTGGCACAGGACACATGCAAGAGGTTTTTCGGCAAGGTTCCCGAAATCCGTCCAGCATGGGTGGCATCGCCCCCACCGATTGTCCAAGTTGTGCAGCGTGCTGCAAGTTAATGGAGGTTGGTTGGGTGCGGCGGAGGCTGTATCTATTTATCTGCAATGCCAGGCAGGCGACGACGCGAATTCACCGGCGGGTTGTTGAGCTAATTTGCCACATCCGTCGTAACATTTTGGCGTCCTGCCTTGGTTTTCAGACTCCCCCCATGCCCGGCAGTAGGCATTTTGGATCAGGGTGGCGCTTGCCGCGCCCCAGGCCCAGCAGCTTAGCATAGCGTCTGTCTGCTGCTCTCCAGTAGTTCTGGAGAGACCCGAGTCCAGTGGAGAAACATTCACATCTCGTTTGATCTCGTTGAATCAATTCTCAGAGCGTGGCCGTGGCGTGGCGTAGGTGTCCACGATTGACCTTCACGGTCGCGCAGCGGTGGCTGACCCAGACGTTCGAGGCGACCTCAAACCCGATGATGACGGCGGGCCCGTGCCACTGCAAGGCCCATTCTGTCTCGGGCTTGCCGTTGCCCCTCCTGTATTGCACCTGGTCGCCCGTCTGGTAGACGTCGCTGGCGTGCTGAGCTCCATCTGCCCGAGACCGGGCCAGCCGCGCCCTCGAGAGGGACTGGTTGAACCTCGGGTGCTGGATGGAGGTCTGCGCGGCCTTCATGATGGCGATCCTCTCCGGGAACGGCTTGTCGGACACGATGCGCTCGTGCAGGGGCAGCTTGCCGGCGTTGTCCAGCAAGACATACGGGGGGCGAAGGCCTCGCCCGAGCACCCGCTGCGACGGCGAGTAGCCCGTGGAGTTGACCTGGCTGTTCATGGCTCAGCACGCGGAGGCGATCATCCACTGGATCTTCTGAGCGACCGCGGGCTGGTCGAAGCTGATGCTGAATTGGTCGATCAGCTTCCTCGCGTGCACCTTCCACATGCCTCCGCGTCGCTCCACGGTAGCGTCCTGCTGCGGCGTCGCCGCAGATGTCGTCATTCGGCGGCAGCCCATGTCCTGAAGCTCCTTGGAGAGCACTTCGCTCGAACTCGCCTCCTCCATCGAATATGACTCGCTGAGGCGCGCCGAAAGGCGTGATCCAAATCTGCAACAGTCAAGCGAAAACAACCGATGGGTGCCTTGATGCGACAGTTCCGCACATCGTAAAACCTGAGGCCAGGTCGACCACGCCGAGGTAGACCAGCTGGATGCCCGCGTATTCGGCCGGGGTGAACAGGTCCACTCCGATGGAGTCGTTGAAGTCCCTGTCCAGTCTGATCCGCCCCGGCAGGCGTGGTAGTGGTCGCTGATGTGCCGCGCAAGCCTCGCGGGTGCCCCGTGTTCACGTGGGGCTGCATGATGGCGGACCGTAGCGTCCGCTCCTCCGCGGCCGTGAGCGCTGGCTCTTGGGCGGCTGCGGCGGCTGGAACCGCCCTTCTGCTTGCCCTTCTCGTCGTCGATGTACGGTGAGCTTCTCGTGCAGGTCGGCGGTTCGGACGTCGCAGCTGCTCGGCTAGCGCCGTCGCGAGCTTGGTCGTGTAGTTCTCGCTGCGCTTTGCGTCTTTCCCGCGGGCCTCTGCGTGGGGGTGTCCCCTGTCGCAGAAGCGCCTGAGCGAGTTGTCAAATCCGAAGTGGTCGGTGATGATCCGCCACGGCTTCTGGATGTGATGAACGCGCAGCCGTCGAAGCCAGCCAGCCGTCGAAGTCCACGACGCGCGGGAGTTGTTCCTTCAGCTGCTTAGCAGTGGCGTTCTTGTTGGGGTCCCATCCGTCGCAGTACCTCGGCCACTCGTGCGAGGCGGCGAGCTGGGCGCCGAACTCCTTGCGCAGCCGTGACATCGACTGCAGGAACAGGCCGATCATCTGCTTGGACTTGGCCCGTTCCTTGTTTAGCTTGGGGATCTTGCTCGAGTCGATCTTGACGACGAGTCGTTGTAGCGTCGTCCACGGCTGGCAGGGAAACGCAGCGTGAACTCGCAAAATCTTGCCTGCGGCAAGGTTCTCCCGGATCCTGCCCTCCAGCTTCTGGACCGCGAACTGCTTGGAGAGGTCGTAGCCTGGGAGACCACGCCTGACAGCAGCTCCTCCTTTCCTCTTCTAGACGGTGCTGAGCTTGCTGTCCGGGTTGCAGCACCACTCGTAGAGCACGGTGCTGTTCGCTGTAGAGGTCGGGCTGTATCTGGTTGTATACTTGGCCAGGTTAGTGTTCAAGGCCTGGCCGATCTTGTGCGGCTGGATGCCGCTCTTGCTGGTGACGAAAGCTGAGCGCTTGCCGGCGGTCAGCTGCGGCTTCGTCCCCTTATTGAGCGTCCTCGCGCGTAGCTGCTCCTCCTGCGCGATGTTGGCCTTGGGTCCGAGGCAGCCGTTGGCGATGGCGTCCTGGCCGTGACTCAGGGCTGCGGGCGTGCCGAAAACGCAGTCCGAGCAGAGACGTTGGTGGCTACAGGCTTCAAGATCGTCTCGCCGCATGCGATGCAGTCCTGCAGGGGCTCGGTCACGCACGTCGTGGGGTAGGTCGTCTGCGGCAGCGTCGCTAGCGTGAGGTTCGGAGCTGAAGCTGCGGTGGAGCAGCAGACCAGGAATGAGGTTACGGCCGAAAGCAGCCGCGACCCCTTCGGTCGGCGAGTCCGGAGGCGCCTCGGAACGTTCAGCTCCTTCTTCGTGGCGAGGTTGTTGTTGGCGCCGATCAGCGCGCTGGTCCTGGTAGTGTTGTTGACCGTAGGCTGGTCGCCCGTCCTCGTCTTCCGATCCCGTCTGTCGAGCGCTTTCTCGACCTCCACGTATAGGGTCTTGTCCAGCTATCGCTTTCTTCCGGACGAGCTGGCCGCGCTGGGCGATTGCTCCATGCCAGCGTCCTTGATGACCTGCCAGTCCTTTGGCTGCAACTTGATTGCGGGGTGGCTCGCGGCGCTCGTGGTGAGCTTCTGGGTGGCGTTCCCGATGCGGATCTGGCCCTTCCACAGAGAGATGGCGATCTTGGATGGCTGGATGAAGTCGCGGCCGGTGAGCAGGCCAAGCGTGGGGCTGTCCACGACGCTGAACACGATGCGGCCAGCCTGGCCGCACAGCACAAGCGGCGCGGTGACGCGCAGCTTGCTTGGGAGAGTACCTCCACTGCCGAACCTGTAGACCTCGCCCTCCGGCTCTTCGAGGATCTGGTTGGCAAGTCCCATCCTCGTGAGGATGTCCTTGTAGTTGTCGTACCACTTCTTGGCCGAGGCCCGAGACGCAGAAAAGGCAGGCGGTGTCGACCGCGCCAACGCCTTCGTCCGCGGGCTTGTCGCTGCCGATCGCAACGTTCACGTTCGGCAGGTGGTGACTGAGCCGCTCCGAGACGCAAGCCTCCGGGGGCGGCGTGACTGATCCTTGCGGGTGCAGGGCGATCTCCTCGTCCGCGAATTGGACTTGCTCGGTGATGTGATCCTGGCGCTGAGGACGGCCTCCGCGACCTCCTCGTCCAGCGCCCTTTGACTTGCCGTCCTTTGGCGCGAACTTGCGAGCACCTGGCGTGGGGCACTCCTTGCCCCCTGTCCAGTGTCCGGTCTCGCCGCAGTCCCAGCAGGAGGAGTTCCTCCTGCGCTGGTCGACCCGGCTCTGTAGCTTGGTCGGGCGGCGAGACGGTGCGGACTTCGCCATGCCGCGGCCCTTGAGGGCCTCCCCGGCCGATCTGATGGTGGCCATGGCCTCGGGAATAGCGGCAAGTTTCGCTGCGGCAGCTTCGACCTTGGCGGGGTCGTCGCCGTCGAACAGCTCGGATATGTCCACGTTGGAGGACTCGAGCTCGGCGCTGAAAGCCTCGAGCTCCTGGCGAACGATGTCCTGGACGTCGGCCTCGTCCTCGTCGTCCTCCTCTGGCTCTTCGTCGTTCTCGTCGTCCGGATTGTCGACGACGTTGGTAGGGCGCCCCCCGCGGCTGGAGGAAACGTTGCCGCGCCAGCCGCCTTGTGAGCGCGACAGGTTGTTCCATGTCCTCGGCGGGGGAGCATGGCGCTCCGACGTATGGGCGTCCGGGAACATCCTGACCAGCAGCCCGCGGACACGCTGGTAGCCGCAGTGCTCGTCGGGCAAGTTGCCCGCGACGCGCTCGCGGCGTTCTGCCGTGAGCCCGGCCTTGCGCAGCAGGAACCATCCCGCCACGTCGTCCAGCGCGTTGAGGTTCACTTCGTTCTCGCGTAGCTGCTGCAGTCCT